CCACATCCTTTCGACCGCGCTGCGTGGGGGGCGGCAACTCGGCCAACCATCCCGATCAGAATGATTCGTCCAAACAATAAAACAGACAAAGTGCTGCCGTCGTTCTAAAATGTGTTTGCAGAATTTCTCGTACACTGACCTAAGGCACACGGAGGCACCTGGGAAACGTCGGTTAACGCGCTGGAGTGCAGCCCTCAAGGGGGTCTCCTGTAAAACTATAGTTTATTTTGATCGTCCTTGGTCGTATCAAAACGCAACTGCCGTGGGCGTGAAGATGCAATACTGCCGTGAAAATTCTTGTCAGCAATATAAAAAGCCCCCTGTGGAAATGTCAGGAAATTTCATGTGGGCGCTTCGATTCGATGTTTGGCAGGTCAGTTCTAGCCAAAATTGACGGCTTGGTCGCTCGAACGAATGCATAGCTAGTGGATTCGCTCACCAGAGACATAGTAGGCCAATAAATGTCAAGGTCGGATCAATAGCCACTGAAAGTCGGACCAAATGGCCAGTCGACCCAGATTTTGGACATCCTCCCGATATCGAAGCCTGCGCGCACTGGACGACGTGGAATGTAACCTCTGTTGCCACATCTTCATTGCTCACCTCAAATGCTTGACCTGTTGAGCGCGAATGACCAGGTTATCTTTCGATCTGTGTGAAAAAACTCGACTCTCACAAACTGTTCATGAAAAATTGCGGTGTGCGCTGCATGTGTGTGCGTGTGTATGCGCGCACACGTAAACAAATCTCAGACGCCTCTGCTCAAGCAAAAATGCGTGCTCGTGGACTACTCAGAAGTGCATACATTCAGGAAGTTTTCATGTGGAATTTGCATTTTAAAAGCCTTCTAGCTACGGTCAAAGAAACCTTCAATGAAAGAAGGTTACCACAATTGGGTTATATGTTATCTTCCCAAAGACATTACCGCTTTTCCTCCTCTCTTCCGGTTACCGAAATCCACTTTTTAAATCATATTTTCGTCCAAATTGATTTGCAAATAAGTGTATTTCTCGAGATGGCGATATCTCAAATATCGTGACAACTGAATCATGAGGCAGCCTGTGTGCAGCACATTCAGCTGGAGGACATCATAAACGAGAGATTCAGTTGAGTTTCTCGTGAAAACCCCAAATTGACTTGCAAATGAGTGTATTTCTCAAAGACAGTGCAATTTGTGTTCGAATAGAACATAAAGTTGACGGAAACTCGGGGACTGTGCCTACCTGATGAGTCCCATAAAGGGCGAAACCGGTCGTGGGCTGTCGAAGAGTCCTCAGCAACCTTGTGAGTAGTTTCCTGTATGAAAATATACTGCGGTATCTCGAATATCGTGCCAACTGAATCATGAGGCGGCCTGTGTGCAGCACATTCAGTTGCAGAATATCGTAAACGAGAGATCTGATTAAGTCTCCCGTGAAAACCAAATTTATTTGCAAATGAGTGTAATTCTGACGAACAGTCCAACTTGGTTTCAAGTTGATCATGAGGTTGACGGAAACTCGGGGACTGCGCGACTACCTGATGAGCCCGAACTGGAAGGTCGTGGGCCGTCGAGTAGTTTCCTCTGTTGCTATTCGGCGTCTAGCGCCGAAAACAACATCGAATAGCTACGCAGCGTCCATCCGTCAGTATTCGTTTCTGGCCCGGAAGCCACGGATCCAGCAGGGTTCACAGTACCGATGTCGGAAATTCCAATAGCTCTGGAGGCACATTTCCCGGATTCACATATACAATCCTATCAGTAGGACAGATAGAATATTCGGGTGCTTTCACTAGGAGACGCTGCCACAGTAAAAAAAACAGCGGCAGAACGATATCTCTTTTTTTCAGGATTCATTCCTGGGAGTACTCTGGACACTTGACGAGGGGCACTGCACGAGCGTTCCCCCTTCAAACCAGTTGCGAATTAGCCAGGCAAAACAAACTTGCGTGTTTACGTGCAATGAATAGGGTTGCATTGAATCAGTACCCGCCAGTAGATGTTGGGCCACTCGTTGAAGCTTGTTTGACGCAGTAACTCACGTCAAAACGCGGACGAAGTGTGTCCAACTTTCTAACTCTTTATACCTGACACGTTCTTCTTCAACTCCGATTTGCTGATGGAAAAAAGTATGTTGTCAACATCCGTCTTACCTGACGCACCCAACTGGTTGTCGTGGGCGCATGAAACCAGTCTTAGTGTGGATTATGTCTACATCCAAATTCGTCCTCCGATACCACTTACTACTTCCATAGCATCAGTAGTTCGGTTGAATCTACATTGGGTTTCTACAACGTGTGCTGTTAGCAATGCATGTTGCCTTCCATTAGGTGGGCCGAACGAGCTGAAGTTTCAGAAACCTCTCCGTTTATACGATAAAAAAATAGAACACTTGGTTTCTCCTTAGAGAACTAGTTCGCCTCATCACTTTGATTAAAAAAGCACAGGTAAAAACTCATAAATATATGAGTACGTTGTGCCACTGATTGGGGGGTCCAAGAAACCTTGATGTCGTACTTGTCTGGGCACTGTGAAGTTAACGCTGGAACAACTCGGTGTAGTAGAACAACTGGAGAGGCATACGTAACACGAGGCACCTTGTCAGTTGGTCCGCTGTTGCACCTGATCAGCTGTCCCACTCTACATTAAAGAAGCCTGTTTATCCGATCAAGATTGTCTACTGCCGATGAGTTTTGATTCGGAACGAAGGTCAAGTTCCGCGATTCTTCTCTGTTCTCGGCCAACTAGAATGTCTTATCCGTGGAAAGCACAGGACCGTCCAAAAACGAGCGGTGTTTTTTCTTGTCGACACTAATATGACCGAGTTATTAGCGTTCAGCTGCAGCACTCTTCCGGCGCCTAGCTGCCATGCCACACGAAGGAAGCACGAGGACTGGGATACTGCCAGGTTGCCCAAGCCTAGACAGGGGAAGTTGAGAGGCGGAGGTGGGATTCGAACCTCGGGCCTTCCGATCAGTAAATGGGCGCTCTTACCACTTTGGCCATATCGACGAAAATCATGAGCGGTTCACCACTGGTTTCTCTCTCATAGAAGTGAATGCATGCTCAACCACAATGGGATAAGGGACCTTCAACGCTGACGGATAGCAAATTTCTTTTTATCAAAGATACAACCCACATGTTTACGGGACATCTGATCTAAAGCTGTTCATGAATCCCAGTGGAAACAAACATTCCTCTCACATTCCGTGATACTGTTCGACTCATATACGACTAAGAACATTAGTTATCTGTGCAAACCCTCCTCTGAGTTTGGTGTCGCAATCAAGTCGTAACAAATAGCTTCATTTGTGAATAGGAGAGGCGCACAAACTAACCATCAAGAGAGGCTTATGAGTGGCAGCCAACTTTTAAAGAGTCAGGCGTTGAGAGGCATACATCTGAAGTTAGACAAAATATTTGGAAGGAATGACTTGAAAACTGAGATGCACATTGCGGCAACTCATGGCTGGGTTGGTGCGGAATCAAAAATAGGAAGAGAATACAGGACTAGAACCGGCAAGGACCGGCTACGCCGACCGGCGACGGTTTGAAGTTGCCAACAGAGAGCGATCGTTAATCGTAGATGTTAAGTAAAAATTGAATCATGTGAAATTTTAAATACGATGGGGCCAACCAGTATCATGAATCTAAGAGCGAGTTGAACTTCGAACAACTCATATTCCAACGCCACAGAATGTTTCTCACATTTGGAGGATATCGGATACCGGCTGTATTACTTATTGCTAGTTCGCAATTGGCAAGGGCACTGGAGTTTAATTATTAGAGAACTTCTCTTGAATTCACATCCACAGTCTGAATTTTGCTCCCGAACCTCCCTGCAATCCGATTGGCTGCACTCATCGATTTGGTTATGTCTGGCCTTCCCTGATTGGCTATCGATTCCTGGTGCTGCAATCAAATAATTCACGCTGTCTATTCAGGCTTGCAGATGTCCAAGTCCCTATTGCTTATATCGTATCTTATTCTGCTCTCTTTCCTTCGTGTATTGGTGAAATCAACTCCCCTCATAACAGTCCTTCCACGGTTGGCAGTTCAACATTCTAAGTGGTGTATGGAACTAAAAGAACTATTGGTGTTTTTCATTGAAAACGCATGAGACATCGGTTTGACCTTGCGCCAACCAATCCTACCCGTTGCATGACATTGAACAGAAGTGACACCAAGCAGTTAGAACGTGATAAGTTAGGGCTCTTACCACGTGATTTGACCCGTTCCAGTCAGGCGATTGGCTAGGATTATTCGTCGAGGCGTTAAATTCTATCGGTGGTGAAAAAAACACATAAGCACCAAAACGTACACATATAATCTATATGGGACCACTGGGGTGAAAAAAATATGACCGATCTTTTTTAAAGTTTTAATATCGAGCAGTGAGATCTTGCTGGACGTAAAGGGACCAACGGAACTATCAGCATTACCCATCTTACTCTTCCCAGATGCTTGCTTACCAGATTTTGCACCCACTTTCAATAAACAAGGGAATAGATTTTGTTGAATTCCCCAAGAGTCGAGCTGCTTATCTAGAAACTATCGGTGTCACGCAAGTAAGGTGAGACATATGCGCTCTTTGACAAATCTGATATACGAGGAACTGAAGAGCTAATCCGGGGATATCACCATGTATTGGGGGTACGCTGTCTGCCACGAGGTGCTCCAGAAGTATTAGATTCCGGTTTGAGTCCCAAGAAAACTTACCTTGATGTCTTCTAGTAATACCAAGTAGTGTCATGTTACTACTATAAATCTAATGAATAATCAGTAGTATATACTGAAGGGATGGAAAAATGAATTAAATCTCAGTACATAAGAATGGATCTTATGAAGCGATCGTCGTGCAACTGGAACCAATGCATCAACTATCTTGGCAAGTTTGATTGTAAATCTATGCTTGCTATAGGTTAAATGCATTTTGTGGTCTCTTGACTAGATGCTAAACTCAAAGGACAGAACGCTTGACTACCCGTCTGATTTCGTCCTTTCCGCGTTCACTTTACAGCCTCTTCTTCGAACTGAACATGGAAAATTTCACACTGGATCAATGCAAACTGAACATTCATCGATGCGGTGCGACGACAAGGGTGAGTCATTTTCCACTGACCAATCAGCGTGCAGCATTCTGTCCTCCATTTGTGAACTGCGATTTCGTGTATAAAAAAAACAACGCGCTCGAATTGGAACCGAAATGTCTCTTCAGTTGTCCTAGGATGACTGATCTACCGTAAGGTTTCTCATGGTTACTTGAAGCCGTACATCATCTCCTCTCAGCACTGTCACTAAATATTTTGTTTTGCCGGAACAGGAGGGTACTTTTTAGACGCAATCGGGTGTTTCTAAAGCATATCTAGAAGGGTGACTCAGGTCATTTCGTAAACTTACTGAGAACGGAGAGCAAAAAAACCTCGTAACTAGGGTGTTTGGGGTGAGTAGGTATTGGAACATGGGTTTCACACCATTTTGTTTTTCGCATAGCGACTTAGGAAAGAGAGGAATTCGATCCACTTTTTTGTCACCTCAGCATTGGAAGGTCGATTCTGCTAACTGAGATCTTGATTACTGAATGAGCCATAATCAACACGAAGAGATTTGCGGTAAAAGTAAAAAAGTATTGATTCAAGAACTCGTTCCACATTAGTTTGGAATTTCAGCCTGGTAACTGCACAGTATGTCTCCCGAATAAACTTTGCTAATTTAGCATTCGTGGGAAAACAGCAAAAAATCATTACTTTTTAGCGTTGAGTAGGTATCATTTGGTCGGAATTCTGACAGCTCGGACGCATCGATTGGTATCTGGTTAAGCGACTGTTGTTCTGATCTTCCAAGTTGGCAACTGACTTGTGAGCTTCTCGTCAGAGGTGAAATCATCAGTGTGCGTTCGGGTCGGTAGTTCCTCTCCTCATGCTTGTGCTTATCTCTAACCCGAACAGCTGTTCATAACTAATTGGCCAGTCAGGTTGGAGTTCAAGGATGACCTTCACAAATTGTGTGGGCGGAAGCATGAGGAGCGGAACCACCCACCCAAGTGCACACTGATGATGTCTCCTTATATGGTGGCGGACAGATCAATAGCCGCCTGATCAATTAACAAGGTGAAGTGAAGTTATCGCCATCCGTACGATCGCGGCTTTTGAGTGATACAGTAGCGACGGGATCAAATTGGTTCATTTCTTTGGTCCGCTCTGCACTCGCACCATAACGTTTCTCATTCTCGCCGTCATCCTCGTTTCCATCATCGATATCAACACAATTCCAGGCGAAACCATATTTCACTGCCTAAAAATCGTAGAAACCTACAAGAGCACAGTTCTATGACAAGCAAAAGAACGAAGGGAATTAAAAAGAAAAGGGCTGTAGATACCCGATAGGCCTAGCTTCCGCACGCTCACTCGGGCAACTCGAATAGAAACTGACGCCACTCATCGGTCTGTAAGAGCCACGTGGACCCCGGTTTGGTTAGGTCTTACCACGTTATACGTTGCCAGTCAGTTGTGGATACAATAAGCGGAATATTTTATGCTTCAACAAACACGCGCTCCCTCTAGTCACACCTATCACCTGCCTCTCCAGTATGTTCCGTACGGGAAAAGTACATATGCCGCTACCTTGTCAACGAGAGAGTTATCAAAGTGCAAGTGAATGAGCATAGGAACACCACTCAAATATTGGTCGCTAGATTAGATGTACTACGAAGCTGAATACAGCCAAAATCCAGTTGCAGGTGACTACTTGAAGCTTCTAAGTATTATCTCAATTTGGTACTGGTATTTTTGTCAGCGTTGGTACCAAACTGGGCTGCGTCAAGTAGATCTTCGTCTACTAAGACATCTACGTCGCCCACAACAACGTCGGACGTCAGTCGAAGGAGACAGGAACAATTACTTTTCGACCGAAATCGATCGCGAGTTCTCAAGATCTTTCGAATGGTATACAGCAGAAGGTCCAAAGAAAAGCGTTGACCTACCAGCTTCCTGCATTCTTTAAAGTTCCTTCTCGGGACGGCATTCAGGCATACATTTCACCTCCATGGATGACCGCTGCCACGAATGAACTAACAATCTTTCCATCGGTCTCGAATGCAACTCACATGAACTAGGGGTGTAATCCCCCGCGGGACAACCTGATAGTACTCTACCCCGCATGCTTGGTTATACACAGGTTTCAGCAACAATCCACCAATCGCCAACTCACCCGTGGGCACGTATGCACTTCAGTCACTCAAGATCCTCACAAAGCTTTGATTCAAAAGAGTCGAATACAAGTTGCGAAGTTTTCACACATTCGATCTCACATTGTCTATTCAGGAAGCAAAAGGGTACTTTATACCGACGCGGATTGTTCCCTGACACTCACAAACTCTTAGTGAGCTCCTAAGCATGCGTGTTCCGATCTGTTTCAACACTTGTTGAGGTCGAATTTCAGATCCACAGTAATATTTGTTAGACTCCACACAGAATCTGAATTCAGCAAAATCTGAATTTTCAGCAACCTTATGAGTAGTACATTACAAAGATATACATGTATCGCGATATCTCGAATATGGTAGCGACTGAAACATGAGGCGGCCTGGTGCAGCACATTCAGTTGCCTGAGAACATCGCAAACGAGAGATTCAGCTGGGTTCCAGGTGAAAAACCAAATTAGTTTGCAAATACGTGTGTGTATATTCGCTGAATTCTGCTCAGTTCTGAACGTAAGGTCATGGTTTACCTGGTCACCTGGAGTGAAAGCCTACCTCACCCCATCTCTGAGCATACTCGGTTGAATTTCCAAGAGGTCTCGCTTCCGTCATCTGATACTGCTTACTTCTTGGGGAGCCTGGAAGAAGAGCACATTGAAAGTACACTATGCAACGCACCCGTTCTGTCGGAGCCAAAGGGTCACTAAGGGGTTCTGTCCCGTAGTGACCTGCGCACAAGTTTCCTGTCCTGGCTGGTGTCGCCAAACACGGGGAACTTTGAACGCCAGTTCCTCTTTTAGTAGAGCTCACGAGCAGCGCACATCCTCAGTTCTGTGGGCACCCAAGCTTCAGAATGAGACTCTGGTTCGGTTCCAATCTCTCGAGAACTCATCTGGAAATCAATAACTGTCCGATGTCAGCTACCATGGGTGTAACCAGTGCACCATTGAATACGGATCACTGCCCTAGAGATATCCTAAACAGACAGGTAGAGAAAGTGACCCAGCATGAACAAACCAAGCGATTTAGGGGTAAATACTTTTTCTGAACGATGATGCATCGAGCTTCAAACCGAGTCTCATCGCATCGATTCTTAATAAATAAATAATGAAGTAAAGTTTGCCGCTTCCTGCCATGGTGGGAAGTGTGAATTGTTGAAAGACTCGAGAAACTTCGAGATACGGTAATCATCTGTGGGGTCGGTGAAAATGCCTTTAACACGTTTTCGCCCGGATTAAGCTGTCCACTGGTGGGGGAAATTAGGTACTCACGGTGGAATACAACCACTGAAATCCAGCTGAACCCTTCGTTTTCATAACATTTTTTCAAATGATCCTGTCGCAAAAAAGCCGTCTCGTTTGATATTCGAGGCATATTTACTTGACGAAACATACTACTCGTAGGGTTGCTGAAAACTATTCGAAAATTCAACACACATTTCAAGTAAATCGAAATGTTCTCTTCTCGGATCGGTGGATACAGGTAACACTCAACCAAAGAACATCTCACAAAATATCAGTGATTTTTCTGCTTTCGGTTAATTTTTCCTCAGGCGAAGTGGACGGCCAGATGTATCGATCGGTATTCGCCAAGCCGTGGTTAAAAACTATGACAGATTTTGCACTACGCGGTACAAACAGCAATCAGCTGGTGATTTATTGGCAGACTGGACTGTTTTCCTCGCCCGCGCCATAAATCTTTCGACAACAATCTGTGGAAAACATTGGTTTTGCACGCCCACAGTTTATTGAGCAATCCCGCTGTTAGGGAGATTGGCACGCGAGCTCGGTGGAAAGTTTTTTTTAGGAACGTAGAGCCTCAGGTGTTTTACCTTTATTTCTGACTTTCCCGTAAACGAGCCTACTATCTACCTCTGGTTAGTCGAGGCAAAAACACAACAGCGCAGAAACGAGCCAATTCACTCGCAAACGAGAACCGCTGGTGAGTTCGGATACAACATCCACAAGAGGGCGTCAGATGGCTCACCAGAAGTTCCGTGGTTCGAATCCGACCTCTGCATCTCGACTTCTGCTGTCTGGGCTTGAGCCCCCTGACAGTATCCCAGCCCTCGTTCTTCCTTTGAGAGGCAGGGCAGCCAGGCCCCGAAATGGTGTTATCAAGCGCGTGAAGACAAGTTGTCTTCTCCACTGTCGTTCGTATTGTAACCAAGTCCGTTTTGAGTCACTTCGCCCGGTTCTTAGCACAGATAGCACCTTCTAGGGTGAAAGCGCGCCGGACACTAAAATAAGTGGACTTCCAAGTCTTTACTCCCAAAAGTTGTGCATCAAATACAGAATTTACTTTGTGCTGATGGTTTACGTCCATCCACGCAGCCCCCCCCCAAAGACTTGTCCCAGGAAGAGTAGAATAGTGTGTCCTGTAAGTGATGCCACATCCCCGACAGGCCTGTTCCATTTCGGGCGATATTTGTAATATCACAGAATAAAACAAACGAGAGATTCAACTGAAATAAAGTCCCGTCTCCTGCTAAAACCAATTAATATAATTTCGGGGAGGGGGCTCAGCTACTTATGAGTAGTTTCATTCAAGAAAGTATAGACGGTGCCCCGAATATCGTCCGAAATGGAACAGTGTATTCAGTTGAAGAGAGATTTAACTGGGATTCAATCGAGGCTCCTGTTAAAACCAACTTGATATGCAATTCATCTGCCCTCCGCTATATTTATCGATCAGTTGCTGGTCGGCTATTCGGCAATCACGTGTTATTTGCTTAACTGTATGCATCACTTGTTCTCCCACACCGTCCGTTCTCCGAAAAGTAGCTTCGTGTACGGTTCAGATAATCGGTGTGAAATCTTCGAATGGCCTAGACAGTTGAGACTGATGACTGTAGAAGCGCGTGACTCATGTGGTTGCAAAGAGAAATTGGTCTCAAAAGATTCAAGCTTATTGACAATGAAGTGAAACGGGGTTACTGTGTCTACAATGAACTTATTTGGGCAGTCGATTTTCTGCCAGTTCGATGGAGTTGGTTATTCCACACCAAGACAGGAGGCCTTGATATCAATCTCTACTTGAATTGGGCCTTATCGGGAGTGCGTACCTGTGGATGCGTCGGGGTTGGAACAACGGAGAGGTGGCATACGAGACAACCGTTTGCTCACCAGCGTATACCAATTGAACAAGCAAAAGTACGCAGGCTTGGACAGTGTGTCTTGTTTGTTCGATTGGCGGCCAGGAGTTTTCTTGGCTGGAAATGAGTTTCCGCCGTGCTAGTTGAGTCAGTCGGTTTCGGCCTTGTTGCCCATCATCATCGTCATCATCGCCATCATCGAGAGCATGACATCGGTGTTCAACACCGATGCTTCACTGCCGTACAACCATGATCTATTTGAAAGCCTTATTGAAAAAAAGAGTAAAAGGTGGACGGGGAAGGGACTTGGTCCAAGCTTACAACAATCATTCCGAGTTGCCTACACCTCCAGACACTCACTCAGGCGATCTAGATAGAAACTGACTACAAGAACGCCACTGACATCGGTTGGCAGCCATTTCCTGTAGTGTCTCCAACCAGGCACAGTGAGGATCACGCGGTCCCCATCCTGGAAGGCGAGTAGCACCGACAGCACCCAAGCGTTTCGT